TGTTCCTCTTTGCTATTCGAAGAACTTAAACGACCGTTTTCATACCATTAATAAGGTGGAAGCAGAGGCTATAAACGCTCGCAACCTCCATTTATCAAGCCATTTTTCATTAGCCCCTTTTAATCCTTGTCATGCTACTCACCCTCTTTTCGAACAACTTTGGCCATCGGTGAAGCGCAGATTATTTGCGACTGAGGCCAATCGTGCCTTTCATTCATTAGACCAACCGAGTATTTCTTCTCCTCCTCCTGTTTTGGTCACTCCTTTGTCTATTCGGAACCCCTCTCCTTCTCGTCGTACTAAACAATCTGCTCGTCCATCTTCTTCCCTCCCTGCCAGGCCAACTATGGCCAAGAGTGCTCCAAGCCGCAAACGGCCAGCCTCAGCATCTCCCATTCTGGAGGATGATGTTGATGATGATGTCCCTCTTATCGTTAAAAGGAAGGTAATTAAATTGGCCTATTTACAAGTATGCTCTTCCCCATTTGAAAATTTTCTGTGTACTGATGATCTTTTGGTCTTTTCAGAAAAGCTCAGCTTCCCCTTCAAAGGCTTTGGTATTGCCAACTTCTGCTCCATCATCCTCCGTTGAGGCTATTTCATCCAAACCGGTTGATGATGAGACCATGCTTAAAGGTATATCTTCAGTCCTAGATTCTTCATCACAACCCATGAATGAGCCACCTTCCTCCCAAGGTGTCGACCCCCCAGTCATCGAAGCAGAAGGTAATTCAGTTTTTGATGTCTTACCTTTGCTCGTACTATTGGTTTCTGACTGGTTACTCTTTGAACTTTGCAGATACTCCCATGAGTTCGCCCGTTGTGGCAACGTCTTCTCGCTCGGACAAGGGAAAGTCCTCACGAATGGATGAGTCGTTGGTGGCCAGCTTGGCTGAGGGTGAGCCATCTTCTACGATTGTCGACGAGGTAGTTTTTATCTTTGCCCCATTCCTATTTCCAACTTGTTCATTGTAACGATTATTTTTAATGTTGGCAATCTTCTTTGCAGGATGCTGACAGGATTGTTCGTTCTATCCAGGATTTGTTCGCTTCCTGGGGGCAAGTCCATATGCCTTGCCCTGATCCATCTGATCGTCCTGCTGCTTCTTCAGAAGAGGACTTGAAGTTCTTGAAGGAGTTGGTATTTGAGTACGTGTCCTTCATGGACATGGACATTGGAAGGGCTAGTGCTGCCAGACACAAAGATGAACTTGAACTCTTGAGTGCAAAATTAGAGCAAGCACTGACGCTTCCGTTGCTCACTCTTTCTGCCGACTTTAAAGCGACGTTGAAGGTCTTCACTTCGAGGTCCTTACTATGCTGGCCAAGAATGCTGAACTAAAGGCCAAGCGTACTCAATATCTTCGAGCCGTAGCCGAGAAAGAGTCTCTGTGCTTGGAGATCAACAAGGCTAAGGACGAGTTGCAAGAAATCTCTTCCGAAGTCATGATTGAAGACTCCTTGATGGTTAACTTGGCTGCTCAGATGAGGGAACTTCAAGCCAAAATGGACGATTGCAGAGCGAGGATGGCCGCTAAAAAGCGCAACGCCTCTCAGGGAATTGAGCGAACCAAATCCTTGGTCGAACAGTATAAGAAGCTGGAGGTTGATGATGATGACGTTGCGGCTGAATTGAACATCACTTCCTCCCGACAGAACGAGGATTGGGAAAAACATAGGGAACGAATTCGTTCCTTATGGGGTAGTTTGTAATTAAGACACACGATGTCTTTTCTTTTTTTTTAATTTTGTTCCTTATTAATGAACATTAATTTCTTGTGCATTTATTTGATGTTTATTTTCTAATCATCAATTCTTTAAGCATTTATCTGCTTTGCATTAAGAATTTTGTCCATTCCCTTTTGATATTCCCATTACTGTTCCCGAGACTTAGGGCCATTTAATTCCGTCTATTAGACAGAAATGTGGTTGTTCATATTCTGTCTCTTCATCTTCACCCCCTTATAAATGTTTAACATTTTTCATCCTCTATCTTCATCTCCTCATTTTCTTATTCGAAACCAATTTGCTGCCATTTCTTGACATTCTGACGATCAATCTGATCCGAAAATGGACTGTTTAGTCCGTCCGCCTTATATTTACTTTGATGTCACCTTTGGTATGGGAGGTATAGGAAATGTTTTTTGGCCCGCAGCGAAATTTTTACCTGCGAAGTTCTTCCCATCGTCTCTTTGTTCTTCACAAGGAGTCAATGATGGAAGGCAATTTTTGGGCTGCTCATGGGCCATTTTGCTTGCTGAGAGTGCTTCTCAGCTTGCTTGCTGAGAGTGTTTCTCAGCCTATTTGCTCGTTATTGCAGCGATGCATTTAGGAAGGTGGTGAGGCCAGTACACCCTCTCACTCATCAATCCCACCACTGCAGCGATGAACATATTTTTTCAAATATTTGCCATTAATGAATCTTACGTGCTTGGTGCCATCTAAATCTTTCAAGTGGTATGCTCCATTAGGCAATACATTGTTTATTTTGTATGGTCCTTCCCAGTTGGGCGACCACTTTCCGTACTTTGGATCCTTGGTGTCCAAAGGGAGTATCGTTTTCCAAACTAGTTCACCCAGGCTGAACGACTTGGCTATGACTTTTTTATTACAAAATTTAACCATTCTTTGCTTTTGAACTTGCAACCTATCCAAGACATCCAACTTCAATTCATCCAAACTTAATAAATTTTGAACTAGCGATTCGGCATACTCATCATCATTCAACTTATGTTGTAAGCACACTCGAATTGATTGCACGTTGATTTCCATAGGCAAAACGGCCTCCTGTCCATAAACAAGTTGGAAAGGAGTAATTTTGGTACTTGACCGAGGTGATGTTCTAGAAGCCCATAAAGCCTTATTCAAACACTCGTGCCAATTTTTGGCATTTTCATCTATCATCTTCCTGATGATATTTTTTAGAATCTTGTTGGAGGATTCTGCTTGTCCGTTGGATTGAGCGTAGTACGGTGTGGAGTTTACTAATTTAACCCCAAACTCGCTCAAAAATTTATTTACTTGATCCCCATTCAAAGATATTCCGTGATCTACCATTATAGTTTGTGGAATTCCAAACCTATAAATAATATGATCACGAATAAACTCTATAACATTCTTCTGGGTGATCTCTTTTAAAGGTACTGCTTCTACCCATTTAGTGAAATAGTCGGTTGCAACTATAACAAAAGTATGTTGCTTGGACGATGGAGGGTAAATCTTCCCTATTAGATCTATCGCCCAACCTTTGAACGGCCAAGGTTTAATAATAGGTGCCATCTCTCGCGCTGGCGCCCTTTGTATCGGACCATGCTTTTGGCATGCTAAACAACCTTTTGCGTACTGAACGCATAGTTCTCCCATCTTTGGCCAAAAATATCCACTCCTAATAATTAACCATCTCATCCTTTGGCCAGCTTGATGAGCTTCACATATCCCTTCGTGCACTTCAGCCATGATCGTCTTGGCTTCTTGCAAACTTACACACTTTAGTAATACACCGTCAGAGCGTTTCTTAAATAACTCTTCGTCTATTAGTGTGTAATTCAGCGAACATAACTTTGTTTTCCTACTAATCCCTCCATTAGTTCGAATGAGTTGATTTCTAATTCGATTTCCTCAGGCATGTCGAGGCATGGATGGTCGGCTAGGAAGTTAGCCAAAGCCTGATTTTTTACTGTCTTTTGAGATATATTGTATTTCGAACTCTGATAAAGCTAGTGTCCAAAGGCCTACCCTTTGGTATAAAATAGGGCGCGAGAACATGTATTTGACTAAATTTACCTTAGAAATTAAATAAACGGTTACGGGCCGTAAATAAGCCCTTAATTTTGTACATGTGAAATACAATGCTAGACAAAAATTTTCAACAGCAGAGTAATTACATTCACATTTCGTTAACCGTCTACTCAAATAATAAATTGCCCTTTCTTCACCAAATTGGTCTTCCTGTGCGACCATTCCAGCTATTGATTCCTTTTCAGCCGATACATACACTTTCATTGGTCGTCCCTGTATTGGTGACACCAATATTGGTGGACTTGATAGATATGTCTTCAGGCTTTCAAAAGCCTTTTGATGTTCTTCTTTCCAGACGAATTCGTCTTGATTTTTCAGCTTTAATAGCGGTGAAAAAACTTTAGTTCGCCCTGCACAGTTAGAAATGAATCGTCTTAAAAAATTTACTTGGCCTAGAAACCTTTGTAACTCCTTTTTATTGCTAGGTGGCTTGGCTTCTAAGATGGCCTTCGCTTTATTTTTATCAAGTTCAATCCCTCTCTTGTGTACTAAAAAACCAAGAAAATTCCCTGCATTAACACCAAATGCACACTTCAAGGGATTCAACTTTAGCTTATATTGCCTCATTCGTTCAAACGAACATTTTAACTGTTCGAAATGGTCTTTTTCTTTAATAGATTTAACTACTATGTCGTCCACATACACCTCAACAAACTTGCCTATCATGTCGTGAAAAATTAAATTCATTGCCCTTTGATAAGTTGCCCCTGCATTTTTTAGGCCGAAAGGCATGACCACCCATTCGAAACATCCTAGAGAGCCAGGGCATCTAAAGGCAGTTTTGTGTATGTCTTCTTCAGCTATATAAATTTGATTGTATCCTGAATACCCATCCATAAAAGAATACATGACATGTCCGGCAGTTGAATCTACTAAAGAATCTACCTTGGGCATTGGATACTCATCTTTGGGCGTAGCTATGTTCAAATTTCTAAAGTCTATACACACCCTTAGTTTACCATTCTTTTTTAATACTGGCACAATATTCGACAACCATTCAACATATCTGGCTGTTCTTATAAAACCTGCTTTCAATAATCGCTCTATCTCTTTCTTAATCTCAGGGAGTACATTAGGAGCAAAA